AAATTATTTCCAATACAGATCTGATATGGATACATCTCTGGATCTGCATATCACTACAAAAAAACACGCGTTTAGTCACGGACCGTAGTCACGGATTTGGTCCGTGACTAGTCTAGTCACGGACTAGTCACGGAAATTTAAAAAAAAAATTAGTCACGGCTTTGACCGTGACTATGGCCGTGACTACACTTAGTCACAGATTTGGTCCGTGACTAACATCCTCCGATTGGCCCGTTTGATTTTCCGGCCTGGCTTGTTTTACTCCGGCGACTTAGTCACGGCCACATCCGTGACTAAAGCCGTGACTATGATTAAAATTTAATTTTCTATCTCCCACAAATTAATTTGCAACGGTATTATGTACGGATAAATTTAGTCACGGACATGGCCGTGACTATTTCCGTGACTATTTTGATTAACACGTCATTTACACGTCATTAACACGGGTTGGACGCGTAATGGACACGGTTTTGGTTAGTGACGGACAAATCTGTGACTAAGTCCGTGACTAAATTTTTTATATATGCAGGAGCAGCTCATTCAACAGAACCACACCAATTCATTCCCAGTATATACAGTATCTGTTTGAAAGATCGAAGGATGTAGTCTATCTTCTATCATTTTCCCCGTTTATGCAGTTAAGGTATATTATTTGAATTATTATTTTTATTTAGAATTAGTTGGTTCAATTTAAATTATTAAAACTATTAAATTAGTGAGGTTGTTAATTAATTAACAACATATTCAACTGTAAGCGTAGTAATGTCATAAAAATAGTTAAAATGTTAGGTTTATAAAATAATTTAATTAAAATTAGTTAGCTAAACGTAGTTTTAAACGTAATGATGTTTATGTTAAGTGAAATTAGTTAGTTAAACGTACGTTAGTAATGTGTTAATTAAGTGTATTGTGAATTGTTATTGTAATTGCGTATTATTTATTAATTCAAATGACTTTATATACATGTTCAAATTATTGGGTTTAATTTGGTCATATTATTTAATTTAGTGAATTGTTAATTGTGTAGTACTAATAAGATTAAATGTCATTAACGTAATAATTTAGTGTAGGTTTAAATGTAGGTTTACAAAAATAATTTAATTAAAATTCGTTAGCTAAACGTAGGTTTAAACGTAGCTAGTGATGTGTTAATTATGTTAAATTAGTTAGCTAAACGTAGTGATGCATTAAAAGGGGACGGAATGAACTAGTTAAATTTAGTCAAATTTAACTAAATGAATTAGTTAAATTTAGTTAAACGTATGTTTAATTTAAATGTAGTGTTAAATTACTTAAATTTTTTGTAATATTAGTTAAATTTAAGTATTAGGTAATTACTTATATTTTGTGCATTATTGTTGTGAATTGTGTGCATTTTATTTAATTTAGTGAAAATTAGTTAGTTGATTATTTAGTGAAATAAATTACTTAAAATTAGTTAGTATTATTGTTACATTAATAACCTTCGTTTTGAACGTGTATACTTTTTTATTATAATATTCAGGCATAATGTATAAACAAAATAGAAGTTGGATGTATGATAAAGATGCGGTATTGTACGGAATGCAATCAAATTTTCTCGAGAGAGTCGGGGAATTTATTGAATTTGCACTTGAACATCCGGCTTATATGAGTGGTGATAAAATAAGATGTCCATGTTCCAAGTGTAAAAATCTCAAATTTAAAGACCCACACGAAGTTGGGTATGATTTGTACGCGGTCGGTTTTGTTCCCAATTATTATAATTGGACTTCTCACGGCGAACCTTTGGATCCATCTGTTATACCACAAACGGTACGTTCGTCTCGTTACGTCCCTCCAGAGATGAGTGCGTGGGGAGACCGTGCTGAAATGAGGTGGGTCCAACAAATGGTATATGACGCATACGGTGTACCGATGTCTCAGTTCAACCCCCCACAACCACCTAACGACCCCCCTGAAGAGTGCGTGGGGAGACCGTGCTGAAATTAATTTTAATAATTGATTCGAAAATTAATTTTAATAATTTTTTTATAATTCGAAATTCGAAAATTAATTTTAATAATTCTAAGTATATTAAATTAACAAAATTCGAAAATTAAAAAAAAAAGTAATTTACTTTTACTAATCTGAATATTATAATAAATTTAGATATTAATAAACAACTAACACAGATTTATTTATCAAATTTCAAAGATAAGTACAAAACACACAATTTATTTATCACATTAACCTAACTAACATTATTCATTCCTCAACCGGAAACTTTCAAGAGGCCTAGCCCACAACTCGTGAATTTTCCTTCGAGCTTCTTCGTTGATCGGGTCTATATACTCCGAACATTCTTGTGCACGTTGAAGCATCCGACACAAGTTTTTTGCTCTTGACTTGCCGAATGAGTCGAATTCCTCATCTTTATAATCGCCAAAACTTTCAAGGGGTCTAGACATCAACTCCTTGATTTTCTCGTATGCTTCAACGGTTTTCGGCTCCATAAGCTCTGTAATTAGCCATGGAATCCCAGTCAATTGGATCTCTATTAGCCATCTTTTTTCCACACCATTCTTTCTTGGGCCGGAGAAGGATGATTTATACTGAAAAAATTTAAGTTGTCACGGTCTTAGTCACGGCTTTATCCGTGACTAACCTGTCAGACTGGCAGCCGGCGAGGTGTCAGGACCGCCGGTATAGTCACGGTCTTATCCGTGACTAAGACCGTGACTAATTCAAATTTTGAATTTAGTCACGGTTTTAGTCACGGATAAGACTGTGACTATACCGGTCAAAGGCGGCTGATGCCGCGTGGCTGATTTCGTTGATTACGAAGGGTTTAGTCACGGAAATATTCGTGACTAAATCCGTGAATACTCCCTCATATAAAACTAAAACTTAGCGATTTTTTTCTAACCTACGCTTCCAAACCCTATTTTCCTCTCAAACTCTTTCCCTTCTAACTTCCCCTTCCACCACCGCCGTCCTCCGTGCACTGCCGTTGTCCGCCGCCAGTTGCCGCCGTCCACTGCCGTCGTCCACCACTCCTGTTTTTTCGCACCTCTCTCTCCACATCAAGGTTATGTTTTCACAATTAATTTTTTACTCACAAATGCATGTTTATGTACTCAAATGCATGTTTATATGCTCCTATGCATTATTGAAAATTGAATGCCCTAATGATTTATTCTACAATTACATATTTATGTGTATATACATTTAATATGATAATATGATAATATGTGTATATGTTTTTACGTTTATACACACAAATGCATGTTATTATTATGTTCGCATTACAATATTAATTTTGTAATATTGTAATATTAATTTCACATTACAATATTAATTTGCATGCTCAATATTAATCTCTCCACGATTATTAGTTTTGTTTTAATTTCGAATTACAATATTAATTTGCATGCTCAAAGTTGATAAAATTTAGTTTTTCTTTTTTGTTTGATTTCTAATACACATGCTTTAGATATAGTTTGATTCAATTTGATTTTTTGTGTATAAGTTTAATATGCATGCCTAAATATGATTTAATTTTAGGTTAAACAACATGCATGTTTTTTCAATCAAATGCATGATTTAATTTCGGACTTATGCATGAATTATTTAGACATTGTTAGGATTATTATTATTTTATCATCAATCAAATTTATTATTTCCGAATTATTTAAAAAATACCCCCTCATGTCAAATTTCCAAAAAAAAAATTGACATGTTAATTATAAAATATTTATTTAGACATTAAAAACTGTTTTCCGAAATAAAATATAAAATATAGATTATAAAAAAACAGTTTAATAATATACTGTTTTTTTATTAAACAGTTTAATAAAAAAACTGTTTGATAAAAAAAAATTAATAAAAAACAGTTTAATAAAAACAGATTTTAATAAAAAGTGATTAATAAACAGTTTAATTAACCAGTTTTATGAAGTTTACTAAAAATGAGGTGTACTAATAAATATTTTTTTATTAAAATTGACATAAAAAATATAACACTGGTATTTTATAATTTATAAAACAATAAAACAATTTATAAAGTGTTTTTCCTATAAAACTGTTTTTATAATTTATTAGACTGGTATTTTAAATGTTATACTGTTTTTATAAAACAGTTTTTATAATTTATAAAACTGTTTTTTATAAAACTTTTTATAAATAAAACCGTTTTTATATAAAACTGTTTTGTATAAAAACAGTTTATACAAATCTGTTTTTATATAAAACTGTTTTATAAAACAATTTTTTGTAAAACTGTTTATAAAAAACTGTTTTTATAAATATAAAAAGTTAAAAAATAGTACGACAAATGCAATAAAATAAATTTTTTAACATCCTTATAAAAAGTCAAAAAAAACACATATATTTAAATTTTCAAAATAAATTATGTTCCCTCATCTAAACTTGCCTAAAAGTTTAACATGTTACCTTTAAGAACAATTTATTTTAGAGTTATAAAAAATTTTATTTATAAAATTACCACCCTCATATTAAATTTACACACAGTTTAATATGATATACACATTTTCAATTGATAAAATTATAAATCACACTAACATTTAAAAATATAAATTAATATATTTTAGATGAGCAATGAACAATCGACCTCGCATGCCCGCCCAAACTATGTGCACTTAACTGAAGCTGAGCGCAACAATGAAAATGCGCTTTGGGTGACGCCTCACATGGTTGCAAAGTAAGTAACTATGAATTTTATCTAACGTCAAATAATTTTTTTCAATTTTTACATAATGTAATCAAAACTTTTATAAATAAATATTATTAATTTTTTGAAGCGATCAAGATGTGTTGGACCAAATCAAACTGATAATTGGAGGACACTTTCTTGGGAACTGGGCAACATACACGGAAGTTGACCCCAAGGTTCGTGAACTTTGGTGGAACCTGTTCAAGGTAAAAAAAAATGAATTTTCTCTGCGTAATTGTATTAACGTAACATTTGATAAAAGATAAATTAATTTATTTGTTTTTTATAAAGGGTCGGTTTCGATGGACTGAAGCCCAAGGTCCCGCTATTCTTAAAGCGTATAACGCTAGGATTTCAAACTGGCTTCGTCCTACTTTTAGGCGTGCCCGAACGAGCGGGGTAAGGCCTGGATGGTGTTCGGATGAGGTGTGGGCTAACCTCGTCCGTCACTGGTCTTCTGATCCGAACTTCTTGGCAAGAAGTCAATCTGGTAAGAAAAACCGGATGTTCGAGAAGGCCTTGGAAACCCAATGGCACGGGGGGCGCAAACCTCAGAGTAAACATAAAGAAGATCTTGTAAGTCTTATTCAAAAAACCTTATACCATTACAACCCTTCATTTTTACATTTATTTATGGATTTTAAGCCTTTTTTTTCGAACTATGTAGGCGGGGCCTGAGATGAAGAAGGTCTCAATTCTCAAGGTCATTAAGCACTGCTGGACGAAGCACGGCGATGAGTCCGATGCCGATCTGCCACCCCGCCTCGCTGAAATTGAAGTAAGTAACATCTATTTTGTTACTTAGTGCCATTCAAAATCGAATTGAGTAACATTAAATTAACAATTTTTGTACATGTAGACGAAGTATAACACAAATGTTGAGAGGAAGCGGGCGGAATTAGGCTTGACTCAGGAGGATGAGATTGATTCTGATGTGGAAGATGATGCCATCGTTGAGGCAGCTGGGGTGTACAAGGGCCGAGTTCCGTGCATGGGGGCCGAGGGGCAACGGATTTTGTACGACCGCAGCGGCGCTTCATCTTCCCGATCAAGGCGCGAAGAGGATCCACGTATTGCTCAAATGCAGCGGGAGTTGGAGGAGCAGCAGCGGGCCTTGGAGGAGCAACGCAAAAAGGACGAAGAAACAAGGGCCCGGCCGGAAGCGATGGAACGGATCCTCAGCGCCGGAATTCGGAATCAGCCTCAGCCTCAGCTGTATATACTGCACCCCGAGCAGACTCCTCAAGTTCCGCAGATGGGCGGTTATTTCCGTTCCAACTCTGCTTCTGGGTTGCCTTCATATGGTTCTTTTCAGGATATCAATTTTCATAACCTGTTTCAAACATCTGGAGGCAGCCAAGCAGGAGGCAGTCGCGGAGGTAGCAGTCGCGGAGGGGGCAGTCGCGGTGGCAACCGAGAAGGCCAAGGTAGAGGCAACCGAGAAGATGAGACCGAAGAAGATTATCTATACGATGATTCTAGATATTATCATAATGGTAGTCGGAGGAGCTGGTAAATGATATACATTTTTAATTGAACATTGTTTATTTACTATATTTGTATTGTGTTTATTATTACTTTTATTTCAGTCTGTTTATGGATGAAATGTGTGTTCTAGTAGTCTGTTTATTACTTTTATTCTACAATTATTTTTTAAAAATAAACTTTTCTAAAGAAAATTGAAAAATAAATTTAATTTTTTTTAAAACAAAAAAACTTTTTTTTAAAAAATAAAAAAATTTAGTCACGGATCTAAGCCGTGACTAAATTCTAGACCGGTTTTTTTAAAAATTATTTTAAAATTTTAAATTTTTTTTTTTTAAAAAAAGTAGTCACGGATCTCGTCCGTGACTAAATTTAAAATTTTGAAAATATAAACTGGCGGTCACATTTGAAATTTGAAAAAGTAGTCACGGATTGGTCCGTGACTAAATTTTTTTTAGTCACGGATAGAGGCCGTGACTAAGTCACCGGTGTGGTTATTCCGGTCACAAATTAGTCACGGATAAGGTCCGTGACTAATCCATGACTACGCTTAGTCACGGAAAAACGGTTGTGACTAGAATTAGTCACGCCCAAACAGTCACGGATTTAGTCACGGAAAAAGTCCGTGACTAGCGTAGTTAGTCACGGATTGTTTATACTATGGTCCGTGACTAAATCCGTGACTAACTCCGTGTTTTTTTGTAGTGTATATCACTTCCAAACCTTATAGTTTGAGAGGTATCCACACCTGAACAGATTTAACATCCGCTCGAAAAAATGTTCAGATTTTGAAAACAAATTCAATCTCATAAAGGATTCCGTTTGAATTTGTATTCGTACAAATGTTTTGTAAATTACGAATACGTAGGAGATCCAAAAAAATTCAAATATTGATAAACGCATACAAAACAACTACTCCCTCCGTCCCCCTAAGTTTGGGACGGAAGGGTGTGGTGTGGTTTCTAAGAAAAAGTGGAATTGTGTGGTTGGTATTGAATTGATAAAGTGTAAATAAAGTAAGAATGAATTCTAACCACTCAAATGTTACCAAATATGGTATGGGACAAACTTAGTGGGACGAACGCAAAAGGTAAAACGGGACAAACTTAAGGGGCGGAGGGAGTAATAAAAACAAGAATGAGATGTATACCACAAAGAAAACGTGTAAGGTCTGAGATCCTTAGGTTATCACTCAGCCTCGGTTGTGAACTGATGTGGTCAGCAACTGTTGATGTTAATCGCCATCATCAGTGACAATGGTGGAAGAAAGTGAAACAAAGGCCATGCATTGAAGGTTAAACAATGAAACAACGAAGTGAATCAGAAGAATTAAAAGCATATACAGCCATCGGAAGGACCGACTGTTGCTTAACGGCCTGTTTGGATGGAGTGTTAGCCGGTGTTAGTAATGGAAGTGTTAAAGAGTGTTTAGCTTAACACTTGTTTGGGAGAAAAAATAAAAAAAATGAGAGGTGTTAGTAAGTGTTTGAGGGTGTTAATCATAACCTTCCTAACACCTACATTTATCACTTTTTTAACACTCCAATTTGGGGTGTAATGAAGTGTTGGACAATCTTTGTCCTTCCTCCCAATTCAGCGGACTGTTCTTCTACCAGGCTCCTAGCGGATTGGACGACGTTCTCCAGGTATGTCTCTACTTCCCCCAAGTTTTCATCACCCATTGGTACATCAAAATCTATGCTATAGACTATAGGTATACGCATTATATACTTCCAGTATATATACCTGGTTGCTGGTTGCTACAGGTATACTCTACGGTTCGTACATACTAGTATATACGAATATGTATACCTGGTGTCCTGGCCGGTTACTGGTCATCGCATTCTTTATATTATTATATATACCTATTTTTTATTTTTATTTTGCTTTTAACAACCCAAGCATTAGACTTTAGTCAATGTATAGTTTATGGGAAATTTAACGGGATATGACTAAAACTCAATGTGTTTCTCAATCTATGACCTAACTAGTTTTTATACCTTTCTATGACCAAAAATCCAAAAACAAATAGAAAATTCATTTATATTTAAATGTTGAATGACGAAAATACCCTTATTTAAAATATGTGCATTTTGCACTAATTTCGTCAAATCAAAATTACTGCACTTTATATTGCCGTTAATGCACAAAATTAATGCACGTCTTCACTGCACATCCGGTTATAATCACTACACTTTCGCCAAAATTAATTTGTCTTCTCATTCACTTGAGGAATTTATTTTTTGTTTTTGTTTTTATTTTTTTAGATTTAATAATTTTATTGTTTTACATATAATTAATTATATTGCATTTCATGGCGAACTTATTGCTCTGTGTTAGTGCACTAATGGTCATAATCACTTCATAACACACTTGTTCAATGCATTCATTCACTGCCCATGTAGAAACATTATCTATTGCTATATTCACTGTCCATATTCAACAATACATGTACTGTCACATTTATTGTCAATTTTCACAGCACATATTTATTGTCCACAAACTCCAAATTGAAAAAGAACTTGATTTCAAAAAATAGAAAATTTATGAAGAATGAGAATAGATGCAGACCGAACTATATTTTGAAAAAGGCAATGGAGACCAAATCTAATTCAAAATGAAATATGTGGGCCTGTTCAAATTTTACGAAATCCCATATAAATCAACTTTAAGAGCCCGTTTGGAGACATCTTTTTTCGGCTTATCAGGCTTATCAGCCAATTTTTTCACCAAACACGTAACTTTTACTTTCGCGCGCTGGATTGTGTAATAAGCAGAAAAAGTAAGGTTGGGGTTACTTTTCTGGCTGTATTGGCTGAAGCTACTGTAGATGACCATTTTAGCTACTTTTACATATAATTTTTTCTTTATTTTATTAATAAAATATATTTTTAAAATATTTTTTTTCTTGAATCAGCAGAATCAGCCAAAACAGCCACTTCAGCCAGAACTTCATAAATTTCAGCAGAATCAGCCAAAACAGCCGATTTTGGTGCTACCAAACGGGCTCTAACATTACTCTAACCCTAATAGCAACATCTTGAGTGACGAGATTTCAATTCCTCTGAATCCCATCTCGCGTCATCCTTTCTTCAGTAGGATTTCACTATTGCAACATGCGCCTGGATGGAGAAGGAGGTGCAAGGCTATGAGGCGGCAGCAGGCAGGTACGTCCCAGACTGGAGGAGGGTGGCGTCAACTGTGCTCCTAGGACAACGATTTGTGGAAGGCGGCGGCGACATGATGGACAGTAGGCGGCGATGGTGACTCGCGATGCCGAGCTGCCACGTGAGATACGCTGGTCGCCGGTGGCTGTGATATTGGACGGCGGCAGGCGGAGGGCCAGGAACGGTGGCGGACAGAGGGCCGGGACGGCGGAGGCAGGGGCGTGTGGCGGGGTGAGAGGCGGTGGAGCTCGGGCGGTGTGAGACCGAAGCCTAGGGTTTTATAGGCATATGTCGAAGGGTATATTTGTCCATAAAAAATATTTATTATTTAATTATTACGAATTTTTATTAAATATTTCAAATTTTAATATTATATTGGGAAAAAAACTGGTTAAGTCATACATTGAGAAACTGATTGAGTTTTGGTCACACCTGAGATAATGATCTCATAGTTTTTAGTTATATTCTTCATACTTCGTATATACACGTAGTGTGGTTTTTAGCACTTTATTTTTTTAAGGTACGAGGATATTTTTGTCAATTTAAGTGAAAACGCTTCCATTATTAACACTTCATTTTTGTAACTCTCCTAAACAAGGTAAGATTATGTTTAACACTTACCTTCCCTTCCGAGCCCTGACAACGTAACACTTACTAACACTTCCATTACTAACACCTCTCAACACTCCACCTAAACAGGGCCTAAGGCGGCTGAAGCCTGAATGTTAAACGCCAAAACTCAAGGGTAATGAGGGTTTGAGACTAGGTAGTTAGATGGTTTATATTGGGCGGGTAGGTTGGGTTGTTGGATAGCTTTTACTCCGTAATTTTTAGTATTAGGCTGGGTTGTTTGGGCCGATTCTGTTATGTTTGGGCACTGCTTTTTGTGTGTTGGGCTGGGTTATTTATTATGATTATTGTCAATTATAAATTATATTATATTATTATTACTTTTAGATTTCACTATGAGTATAGATTGTATTAATAATATATATGAAATAATATTAATAAAATTATATGTTGTTGTTGTTGTTGTTGTAGTATATTACTTCTTATTGTATATTACTTCTTATTCTCTTTT